TTTAAGATGAGGAAATTGAGAGGAGTAAAGTAAGAGCACAATGACATACCACTGGCAAGTGATGGGGCAAGGATTGGGATGCAGATTTTGCTCCTTCTACTATGGTCACCAGCCTTCTCCTGGCCTTTATGGGCCATTCAATGCTGAGCTGCACTTCTGCCAGCTGAGAAGCCCTGCTAGCAACGCATGCAATGGGTTCAGGGTGTAGGGGCCATGAGCATAGTAAAAAAAATTGCATAAAAAAATTAAAAACTTGGGCTGGGGTTGTAGCTGAACAGTAGAGCGCTCGTCTAGCACATGTAAGGCACTGGGTTTGATCCTCAGCACCACATACAAATAAAATAAAGGTATTGTGTTCACCTACAACTAAAAAATATATATATTTTTTAAAAACTCACTTAAAGGAATAAGGAACAGACCACTTTGTTTGGAATGATCAAGCAGGTAGAAGATTCAATATAAGTCCGGCTTTGAAGGAAAAAGAGGATTCCAGTGAACAGTTTGCTTCTTATTTCTGATTATTTTTATGTTAGTTCATAAAAATCAGCCCAAATTCTCATAATTTCTAGGTAGTGGTTTAAGTTTGGGTTCTACCATCAATGATCTGGGGCAGGTTTCTTGCCCTTCCTGAGTGTTCCAAGTCCTCCTTTGTGCAAAGTGATTGTGGTAAAGACTAAATTAGATGAAAGTGCTGGGTCCATGCTCTCTTGCTTTCGAGCAATTTTTCATTGCTGCTTTCAGAAACCCTGTCACCAGTTCACTTCTGGAGGCTCCCCTGACTCCAATGCCACCTGCCATTGATACTGACAGCCACTGGATGACATTCTTGGCCTTTGCTCAAATCCTTATCTCCAGTCCCCCCACAAACATCCTCCCCTCACAGGAGCAGAAACAAGATGTTCTGATCCGACTCTTCCCTGGATACCTGCTGTTCTGCACAATGAAGCACCTTTCTGTTTGGGAAATGAGAGCTGGTGACTGTGGATCCAGGTCTCTGGAAGGGGAGAGTCCTCCAGCCATTTGTTACCTTAATTAATCCTTTCAACAGCCCTTAAAATAACTGGTGCTTAGAGAAGTTGGTTCACTGGTCCAAGCTTTTTTTCCAGAAGATAATTGGTGAAGGTGAGATGGGACCCTAGTACCCAAGCTTCTGCTGGTACCCAAGCTTCCTATCAGGGTACTACTTCTCCTGCATCTCCTTCCTGTTGAGTGGCTTTGGCTGGAACACTTCCCCTCTGTGGGCCTCACTGGTCACATTTGTGAAATGGAGGCAGAGGACAGGTGACATGCTTACTAAGATCCATCCCTATTAGAACCCTTTCCACGAGATTAGGAGCAACACCAAATGGCAATCCGTCCTGCTAGGGCAGCATTTTATAGTTCATAGAGCCCGTACTCATCCTTCTCCTTAAGCAGATTACCCTGGAAACAAGATATGCCCAAATAGCCAGACCACGCCCCTGAGTCACTGCACCAGGAAAATCTGTGCGGAGAGGGGCGGTTCCAGGAACAGGCCTGGCTGCCTCACCCTGAGGTCCCAGGAGGCACTGCCTGTCCTTGCAACGCAGGCTGCCTTCTCAGACCTGGCAGGGGTCCCATGTAGGATGATCAGAACATAAAGCCACGTCCTGGTACAATCTGGGCAATGCGGGACTGGGGACTGGACAGTATAGGCCTCAAGGAACACCTAGACAGAGTCGCTGTGAACACTTCTGGAACCCAGACTTGCCCAGCCTGTGGGCTGCCAGAAGAGACCTGTCATCCATCACTTCTGGTAGTCCATTGTCGCATTCACTCACTCATTCATTCATTCAACACATATAAAGGATACATCCATGATGAGACCTCATTGTGCTAGGCACTTTGGATAAAAGATGGTGTCTCCTTCTCCTAAGGGAGGGGGTGGAGAACCAAGTACACAAGCAGATTAACCCAACCAGTGCAACATTTATTAGCCGTGGGACCCCACAACACTGCATACCCTCTCTGAGCTTCCATTTCCCCATCAGCCAAACAGGGTTAATAATATTGCATTCTTTGCTTCATCCTCCAGAGCTTCCCCCACCCTTTGGGTCACTTCCCATTTCCCAAACACAACATTTAAGGTCCCATTCCTTCACCTTACTATTCCTTCTTCCTTTCCTGAGAGCATTTATTTTTTTCCCCTTTGTCTCCGATCACATCAATTCTCATCTTCTGATCTTGGCCAAATGCAATGGGGAAATGGTCTCTTCTTGATGGTTCTAATTCATGGTTCTGATCCTTAGAGAAGGGCTGTCCCTTCCCCATGTCTCCAAAATACCCCACAACCCAGCACCAAGGCTAGTCTCAGCACACACTAGAGGAGGAATAACTATTTGCTGAATGAATAAATCCCACAAGATTAAGTTAGCACTATCTGACTATCTGACAGGCAGAACAATTATTGGTCTCCTCCATTAAGTTGCAGACTCCTCCTGTGCAGACCCTGGCTGAGAGAGAACGTTAGTGTTTCGTAAACAGTAGTAAAAGTGAAAAACAAGTTGGTCAAGGAAGGGATTACTATCTTTGTTTTAGGAATGACTCAGGTTCTGAAAAATCCTAAAGGACTCCATGAATCATTCTGGAAGGTGAGCAACAGGCCCAATTACAGGGGTCCCAGGGCAGCCTCACTTCCTGCCTTGATTCTGAGCTGTCAGACCAGTGCTCTCCTAAGGTAGTTTTAAAAAAGAACTTATTTCACAAATTCTAAATGCACATGTTTAACATCCCAGAACTTGGGATGCATTTTTCTTTGTTTAATGGTACATAAAATAGTGATAATGTGTCTTACAACCAATGCGTCATAAGATTTGATCAAATACATTATTAGTTGTAATTAGAAAAAGAAAAATACAAGTAGTCAAGTTCACCCTCACTATTAATCACAGCAATAAAAATCAGAGATCCTTTCCCCCTACTGCATTTAGCAAAAATCAGAAGAGGAAAAAATTATGTGGTTGGAGGGAAAGGGAAGGATTCTCTCCTATAGAATCAGTGAACGATGCATTGGTATAAACTTTTGGCTGGGTGTGGTGGCGCATGTTTATAATCCCAGAACCTCAGGATGATGAGACAGGAGGATGGCGAGTTCAAAGCCAGCTTCAGCAAATTAGTGAGGCCCTAAGCAACTCAGGGAGACCCTGTCTTGTAAAATAAAATATAAAAAAGGGCTGGGAATGTGTCTCAGTGGTTAAGGTCCCTGGGTTCAATCCTAGGTACAAAAAACAGAAGTTGTATTCCATGTAAGTATGATTTGTCAAAATATATTCTACCGCCAGGTGTAACTAAGAAGAACAAATAAATAAATAAATAAATTTTGGGGGGAAGGAATTTGAAATTTTTTTGACACATGAAAAATGCTTGCCCCTTAACCCAGGCACTCCATTTCTAAGAGTTTATCCTAGGATGAATTCGTGTTTGCACTCTGATTTATCTACAAGCATATTCTAAGAAGCCTTGTTAATAGTAAGAAAAACTGGGAGCAATGTACCTTTGGCAGTTAAGATTGAATAAAGGTAATTGGATGAAGTTAAATAATATAAAATAATGAAAAATACTGTTAATAATTACAATCAGTTCTAAACCATATGTATTTAATGTGCATGTACAGAAAAAAATGATTTGTGATGCTTGGCCTTACTAACAAAACTTAGCTTTATTCTGATTCCACTTTTATTTGAAAAATTATTCCAGATTGATAACCACCCTGGTAACCGAGAGGATGACCTGGGCTTAATAAAATTGCAGGTGTTTCATTTTTACAGCTAAGTCTTAATAACTTTTAAAAATTGTAAGTCCACTGTTGTTTTTTAATTTGTTTATCTTTGGGGAGTCCTGGAGATTGAACCCAGGGGCACTCTCCCACTGAGTGGTATTTTGAGACATCGTCTCACCAAGCTGCCAAGGTGGGCCTTCAACTGGTAATCTTTCTGCCTTGTCTCCCTGGGATCACAGCGTGCCCCACCACACCCACTCTGTGCTTCTTTAAATGTATTGTTTTAAAACAATTTCCAACTTACAGAAATGCTTTAAGAGTGGTAAAAACAACTCTATATACCAATTACCTAGAGTTGCCATGTTTTGACCCAGGGCCTCTTCTCTATTATTTCTGTCATGCACATACATTCTGGCTTCCCTCTTTATCTATATATTTTTTTATGAAACATTTGAGAGTAAGCATGCCCTTCTACCATTTAATGTCTCAGTGTGCATTTCTTAAGAAAGAAGATATTATCTTACTTAACAATAGAACCATCAGCAAATTCCAGAAATACACTACTGATACAATATTTTTATATGAGCTACAGTCCATATTCCAACTGAATCGATTGCCTCAAAGTGCATAGCATAGCAAGTGTGTTTGTTTGTTTGGTTGGTTGGTTTGTTTGGTTTGCAATACTGGGGATGGAATCAGGGGCCTCACCCATGCTAGTTAAGAGCTCTACCACTGAACTACGCCCCCTAACTCTTTTTTTCTACTTAATCTGAAGCAGCACATCAGCCTTTCTTTGACTCTCATGGACCAAAGGGTTGTCCTCCATATAATTCAGGTGGTCTGATGCTTTCTCATAATTTGGCTCCTTTTATGCATTTCTGCCTGGAGTGTCCTACATAATGTTGTGTCTTTCTCAAGGTATCATGTCTAGGGACACATGATGTCTTTTTGTCCCTCAGTAGTATTACTAGTGCCACTCAACATGTATCACTTAGTCATCAATTGTGCCTTCTCCACAGTGTGGTTTCTATCTCTCCTTCTCAGATCATTCATATGAAGACACTTGGAGACTGGAAATTTCCTATTTCTTATCAGATTTCTTCCCCACCTATTGAGGATTCAATGCTAAATCTTGCTTGAATCAATTTTTACTACATAGTTGCAGAATGGTAATTTTTAAAAATGTAATCCTTCCTTCTATGCTTCTTAATCATAAGAAAGAGCTTCACATTTATTTATTATCAAAAGTTATTTTATGCAAGGGGTTAAGATTCATCACTGTCCATTTTTATCTTGATGCTCAGAATTTATCCTAGGTCGAGCCAGTTTGCCCAGCGGGGGCTGTTCACGCATGCTTCTGTGCCTTTTTGACATGCTCCGTAATCTTTTTGTGTGTTTGCCTGCTTAGCCCTTCTTGTCTTCCTTTTGGCACAGCTTAGACGTTCCAGACTTCTCTCAGCCTCTCTATGCTGTAACCTTGGAATCAGCCACTTCTCCATGGGGACTGGTGGCTTGGAGTGGATATTGGCATTTAGAAACCAAGATCTGGCTGCATAGAGATGTTTCATTTTCTTCTTTTCAGTTGTTTGTATCTTCTACTTTTTAAAAACGAATGAAGCACATATGCCTTTATAATAAGAAAAGGTTGAAGTCATTTTTCACATTGTTCTTTAAAGGGAAGAAAAACAAACAAAACAGAGTGGGCCCTGGGACAGCCAAAATTCCTGAGACCCATGAGAAAAAATTTCCTCTGCAGACTTTTCAAATGCCAGAGGAAGTAGTTCCAAAACAGAGATGGGCCCCAGGAAGTCCTGGCAGGGAGCTGTCCTTCATCCTTAGAGGGCAGGAAGGCACACATGGAGTTCTTTTGCTGGGTAGATCTGCAGAACTGGCCTGGAGACCCGGCGTGGCATCCCCATGGTGATGGAACAAGACCCCCACAGAGAGACTGTTCACCCAAACCCATGGCCCACACAAGATGGTGCCATGTGCCCCAAACCCCAACTCTCTATTGACACTAGGCGGGCAGGCTGGCACATCTGCCTCCAGCCCTGGGCACACTCATCCATGCCTGCCCCGGGACCCAGAGTGGGTTGGAAGAAGGCAGGACGTGTGGCTAGGGGCTGTGAGTGCTCATGCCTGTTTAACTATTCTAATTAAGTTTTGATATGCTGCCCACATGACCAACCCCTGCCTTTTCACAAGAGCAACTGGCTGGGACTGTCCCAAATAGCTCTGTTGGACTAGCAGTCGCCCCTTGACGTGAGGCCTTTCTGAGGTCCTGAGTAACCACTTGACCATGGACTGGTCCGTGGTTGGATTTCTAGAAGAATTTAGGTCAGGGGCACAGCTATGGCAGCTCCTGGGACAGCCATCCCTAGGAGGAGTAGGGGCAGGGAGGGGGTGGCCTTGCACCCCTCTCTTGTTCCCTCCAGAAGTGGCATGAATATCGCCACCCTCGTTTTGTTCTTTTTTTTTTTTATTATTGGTCGTTCAAAACCTTACACAGTTCTTAATACATCATATTTCACAGTTTGATTCAAGCGGGTTATGAACTCCCAACTTTACCCCGTATACAGATTGCTGTATCACATCAGTTACCCTTCCATTGATTGACATATTGCCTTTCTAGTGTCTGATGTATTCTGCTGTCTGTCCTATTCTCTACTATCCCCCCTCCCCTCCCCTCCCCTCCCCTTTTCTCTCTCTACCCCTTCTCGTTTTGTTCTTGTATAAACCTGCACACTCTTTCACGCCAAGGCCCTCGTCTCCCCATGAGAACGCCCCCTGCAGGCCGGCCCCCTGACCTCCACCCCCAGGGATTCTCCGTCTGGGTGTCTTACAACGCTGATCTCATCGCTGGGTCACCAAGTGTCACCGTTCCTCTCTGTGAGCTAGGAGGCCGGAGGCTGTGGCGGTTCATTCTTGTGTCTTGGTGCCAACCACAGCGTCTTCCAGTAGAATTCAGTATGAACTGGAAGGAAAGAAGGAAGCAGGGCGGGAGGGAAGGAGAGGAGCTGCCGTGGGGAAGGCCAAGCAGAGGGGTGTGGGGTACAGCGGTGTTCCCCAAACCGAGCTTCAGGGCTGGCCCCATGCAAACTACCCTCCCAGCCGGCTGCCTGCCCCAGGCACTCACACCCCTGCTGCATGTGCTGTGCAGGACTCATACCCTCTGAGGGCCCTCCACCTATGCACCTGCTGACTTTTGTCTCCCAACCTTGCCCTGCCTTCAGGGACTCCCTGTAGCACTCCTGCGCCATCAGCTACTTGCTGAGGGATGAGAGTGGGGCATGGACGGACTCCGGCTCCTTTGAAGACCTACATTCTGCCCTCAGTGCCTTGGTTTGGTACTTTTAAAAAATATTTATCTTTTAGTTGTAGTTGGACATAATTCCTTTATTTTATTTATTTATTTTTATGTGGTGCTGAGGATCGAACCAGGTCTTTGCATGAGGTTAGCAAGTGCTCTACCGCTGAGCCCCAGCCCTGGTTTTGTACTTTTTATATCAGGCATGTTCAATTTAAGATGCAAAACCTCTTGGGGAAGGTAACAACCTACAGAATGTTCTCTCTTTTCTCCCAGCTTCTTTGTTACTTCCTGTTTTTTATCTGATGTGCATTCATTGAGTGCCTACTAGGAGCTGCACACTGTACTAAACAGTAGAAGTACAAGCACAGGGCCCCATGGGATTCCTAGGGATGAATGTCAGGAAGAAGGTGAGGGGTGGGTGGGTGCGGGGGCGTGTGGATCCTCCTAGCATATCCTGTCCACCTCGACCTGGCACCAGGCAACTGTGCTTATGGAAAGACTTAGGAGACTGGTTAAATGACAAGCACCATACAGTACATGCAGTAGCATTAAGTGTGATGATTGTACCTCAGAATGTTCTATTTGGTATGAAAGAACATGGTTATTTGAAATTACAGTGACAAAGATGCTAAAGCTATTCTGGCTAAGAGGTGACAATTTTCTGTCACTGCCTATGACATACATAAAGGGAGGTGGCGGGAGGGTCCCTCCTCTTCTTGAGAACGAAATGGAATGTACTTTTCTGGAAGTGGAGGGAAGAGGAAGCCTGGTATTCCCCAGGTAAAGGACATTCTGATCTATTCTACATATTCTCATAACTTTATTTTGATTATAAAATTAATATGTACTCAATCTGTGGATAAAACCAGAAAAACATAAATAGGAAAAGGACAGTCTTTTTTACTTTTTCTCTTTCCACTTTTTTTGGGTGCATTTTAGTTTTACACAATGGTGGAATTTGTTGTTATATATTCCTACATGCACACAATATAGCAATATAATTTGGCCAATATCATTCCCCGCTCCTTCCCCACCTCTCATCCTGGGTCCCTTTCCTCTACTGAGCTCCCTTTATTTTCATGAGGACCATCCCCACGCCTCCCCCCCCCACAACTTTCTTTTCTTTTTTCCTCTCTAGATTCCACATATGACAGAAAACACATGGCCCTCACCTTCTGAGTCTGGCTTATTGTGCTTAACATAATTGTCTCTAATTCTATCCATTTTCTTTACGGTCGAATAAAACTCCATTGTGTTTTATGCCACACTTCCTTTTTAAAATTAATTATTTTATTTATTTTAATTAGGTATATATCATAGCAGAATGCATTTTGATTCATTGTGTACAATTGCAGCACAACTTTTCATTTCTCTGGCTGTACACAATGTAGCATCACACCATATGTGCAGTCATACATGTACCTAGGGTAATGATGTCCATCTCATTCCACCATTTTTCCTGCCCCCGTGTCCCCTCCCCTCCTTTGCCCAATCAAAGTTTCTCCATTTTCCCCATGCTTCCCCCCATCATGGATCAGCACCCACTTATTACAGAGAACATTTGGCCTTTGGTTTTTGGATTTGGCTTACTTTACTTAGCAGGATATTCTCCAACTCCATCCATTTACCTACAAGTGCCTAATTTTATTCTATTTTAATGCTGAGTAATATTCCATTGTGTATATATACCACAGTTTCTTTATCCATTCATCTACTGAAGGGCATCTAGGTTGATTCCACAGTTTAGCTATTGTGAGTTGAGCTGCTATAAACATAGATGTGGCTGTATTACTATAGTATGCTGATTTTGAGTTCTTTGGGTATAGACCAAGGAGTTGGATAGCTGGGTCAAAGGGTGGTTCCATTTCAAGTTTTCTAAGAAATCTCCATACTGTCTTCCAGATTGGTTGCACCAATTTGCAGTCCCACCAGCAATGTATGAGTGTGCCTTTTCCCCCACATCCTCGCCAACACTTATTGTTGCTTGAATTCTTGATAATTGCCATTCTGACTGGTATGAGATGAAATCTTAGAGTAGTTTTGATTTGTATTTCTCTAATTACTGAAGATGTAACACAAGGCCCTGGGTTTAATCCCCAGCACCGCCAAAAAAAAAAAAAAAGAGCAAGATATACCGTACTTTCTTTATCTATTCACCCCATTGATGAACACCTAGGCTGGTTCCCTAGTTTATGAATTGTGTTGTTATCAATATGGGTATGCATTTATCACTAGAGTATGATGATTTAAATTCTTTAAATAAAAAGGAGTGGTATAACTGGGTTATATGGTGGTTCCATGCCTAGTCTTTTGAGGAACCTCCATATTTATTTCCATAGTGGTTGTACTAATTTATACTCCCACCAGTCGTGTAATAGTGTTCATTTTTCTCCACATCCTCACCAGCATTTATTATTGCTTATATTCTTTTTTTTCACAGAATACTTTTATTTTATTTACTTGTATGTGGTGCCTCACAGGTGCTAGGCGAGCTCCCTGCCACTGAGCTGCAGCCCCAACCCCTGTTGTGTGTGTCCTTGATGACTGCCACGCTGACTGGTGTGAGGTGAAATCTCAGCATAGTTTTGATTTGCGTTTCTCTAATTGCTAATGATGTCGAGTATTTTTTTTTTCATATATTTGTTGGGCATTTATATTTCTTCTTTTAGGAAGTATCTGTTTAATTCATTAAATGCATTAAGTGTCATTAAATTTATTCATTAATTTAATTCATTGCCCATTTATTAATTGGGTTATTTATTTTGGGGGTGTAAATTTTTTGAGTTCTTTCTATATTCTGCACTAATCCTATCAGAAGAGTAGCTGGCAAAAATTTTCTCCCATTCTGTGTGTTCTCTCTTCATATTCCGTTTTGCTGTGCAGAAGATTTATAATTTGAAGCTATCCCATTTATTAACTCTTGGCATAAAGACATTCTCTTTAAATCTCTCCCCAAAGCATACATCTATAAAGTAGTAGACTACTAACACCTTTGAGGTATTCTTAGTCTCACTTCTAAGCAAGAGCTTACTGTGCACATTTGAGAACATGCTACCCATACAATACCTTCTCTTGCTTTTCTCACTTGGTTTGCCACAAATATTTTCCCACATAATTAAAAAAATGCATCATAAGTGAGGAATTCAAGTTGAAGAAAAATACATATAGTCTGGTACAAAGGGAAAGAAAAAACACACGCAACGCAAATAATATGTATTTTCTATGCCTATGTGGAATGTTAACTCTGTGAACTACAAGCCCAAAATAGTAGGATATCTCTGCAAAGGTGAAGATGGAGAATGAGGCTGGTGCAGAAAAGCAACAAAAATATTAGCTTTGCCTGTGATGCCCAGAGGTTCAAGTTTTCAAGTGTTGTGTATATATAAGTGAATTTGCTTTTAAGCTTAAAACTTTATTAAGTCATATTTACACTGCTTGATGTTAGACAAAATGACTGAATCTTATTTTATTTAAGATTGGACATCAGAATTTTTTTCAAAATTTTAACTATTCTACATAATTTCTATTTACTGGATACAAATCTCAGTCTTAAGTCATTTCCTCTGAGTTCATTCCTGCGAGTGTCTGAGTCACCATGTCTCCAAAAGCGCCAAGTGCTATCAATTTTTAAAATTATTACTAATTTGGTACTGACTCATTTAATTTTAATTAGTACTTCTCCATTTCTAGTAGAGCTAAAATTTTCTGAAATATATTCATTAGCCATTTTCGCTGAGGAGGGACTTTTCCTCATAAACTTTAAGGGAAGAAACTCTTACAGGAGGGGAGTACCGGGAATTCAGATTGAGCAGAACTTTTCTTTTTCTTTTCTTCCTTTTTTTTTTTTTAATCCTTGAAACTTTCTTCCTTTCATTGCAAGGGAGAAAGAGAAGCCAAGAAAAGGCAGTTTGGGGACCAGACAGCAGGAGTGACATCAGCCATGAGTCAGCTTTAAGCTCCTGAAGAGCAGCCCTGGTCACATTGTCGCTGACCTGCCCACATCTTCAGTGTCTCCCCACACCTGACGGCAGAAAGTCCTCCTCCGTGGAAACCAACCTTCTCAGGCGTGTTTCCCTCGCCTCTCGCACACGCCCCATCCCCTGTTGGCCAGGTTCGTGGCCATCCTTCAACCGCACACAGCCTGACCTCTTCTTTCCTTTGCTCACACTGTAATTCCCTCCCCTGCGATGCCCTCTCCACTGTCCCAACACCAACCTTTCCTTCTTCTAATAAAGGCTTTTGCTCATCCCTAAGATTCAAGTGATTTTTTAAAAAATTCTTTTAAATGACTCTTTGTTCTGGAGGCAAGCATTAAAGGCCAAGATTTAAGCCCAGGTTTGTCAGTCTGCTGGTTAATTTCAAGTTTTATCTTGATTGGACCAAGGGATATGCAGATGGCTAACACAATTTCTTGATATTCTGGGAGAGTGTTCCTGGAAGAGGTCAGAATTCAGAGGATTCACCTTCAACAAAGTGGATGGGCATCATCCTATCTGTTGAGGGCCTAACTAGAGCAAAAGGATGGAGGAAGGGCAATTTTTTTTTCTTGCTTGAAATGGGTCATCCATTTTGTCTTGTCGTCTGACATAAGTGCTCCTCTTTCTCTGGCCCTTGGACTCAGACGAGAACTTATGCTATTGACCCTCCTGCTTCTCACCATTAGG